ATAGCCGTTCAACGTTTGAAGTAATCTCTCATTATATTTCATGTTTAAGTGCATACAAATAATATACGGTTACTTTTGCGGCATTACACAGGAATGTTTGTGTCTCACTTTGTATGCAGTAATTTTTGAGACAATATAGAGTCAATTAAAAAAATCACAGAATAACATCGGGAAGATCCGAAATCCAGTTCCCGTCAATAAAATTTAAATTGCATTTTATGTAGCTAAAAGTTTTCTACTGATAGAAAAGGCATTCTTGTATTCCATCGCCCATTTCCCTCTCCTCTCCCTCCGCCTTTGCTCTAGGCGGCCTCCTCACTCCCTTGCTACCTCTATCGGCTCCCCTCAGCCGCACCCTCCTCTCTTCAGTCCTTTGTCAAGAGGGAAATGGCTGCGTGCGCAGCTTTTGCGTTGGGATAAAACGTCAATTGAAGTTGAACAATATGCGTTTTTGAATCTGCATAATGTGAAGAAATGCAAAAAATTGAATCCCTGCTAAGGCCATTGCCATTCTGAAATAGCAACGCATACGGCATATTAGTGGACTACCTATGCCAGCCTGAATGTGCAACAAATGAGGAGAAGGCAAGAGGTCATTCGAGTTACTTGACTCCCGAAGCTTGAATAATTTTGTTTATGCAGCGAAGTGCTAAAGACGGGGGTCTCCCCCCGCCTGCCAGATCAGTCTTTTAATTTTGTTGTGTTGTTAGTGAATCCACAACGTCAGTAACTCATACACCGTGTTAAACCAGGTAAGGCTTTTCACGTGATACTCTGTTACTGGCCGGCTCCTTGTGAACAAGCAGCAAATTCAAATGACAAGGACCTGGAACAAATTGGGCCTCTCGAAAAATGACATCAAGTGACTCGACACACGGCGTGAAAATTTTGTCAGGAATGCGCATCTCGGACGGCTCGTCGATGTACTGGCGCAGTAGCATCAATCCTGATAAAATCTTCTCCGGTTGTCTGTGAGCTAGGCGCGGCGCAATCTGATTGAGGGAGGACGGGGTTTCTTCCTCCCCACCGGTACTGCTATTTCTCGTCCTCCTGCTACAGCACTGGCATCGTCCGATAGTCAGTGGACGCCCGCCTCCGCAACTTGTATCCATTTAATTTTAGGTCATTTGTAAACAAATGGTATTCACATCTTTTTGGTTTTATTTTACTGCTATTTTGCAATTGTCCAACGTGCGGGCCATTTTATGGGCAGGTCGTTGTTCCCATGTGAGGAGTGCCTGGGACTTGCAACCCTTCTCTCCCATCCCTCCTCCACTTTTGAAGCTTCCATTTTCTTTTTTTTTCACACCTTTTAAGAAAGTGAGGCCATAGATTTGTGCGAGTGTTAAATATTTTCGATTAACATCTCTCCTCAGTCCTCACTGTTCTCCCCTCCCCCATCGCGTTCCTGTGCCATCAAAAAGCAGCAGCTAGAAATGTTTCACAAGCACCTGGAAAATTTTGAGGGACACTCTCTTGAAAGTGGGCAGAGCAAATTATTACTTTATTGGACATGTAGTTCAGGGTGAAAAGATTGGCACCGATGTGTTTGGTGTTTCAGTGCATTTCATCTGCACTATACCAAAGTCGGATCTCCGCATCTAATGTCCGGATGATCTTGACAGTCATCGATCGGCAAGTATA